TAAATATTTATATATTATTATAAATAATGAATGAAATATAAATTATAATTGAATAAATTATATTTATTTTTATTATTTATTTATTTTAAAATAAAATGAATGAGATAGAATATGAAATATTATTTATTATCATTATGAATATATGTTATTTTATTATTATTATTGATTTAGAGATATTTTATATAGATTAATATATTAATTCAATATTAATCATTTATATTTGTTATTATTATTTATTTATTATTTTGTTTTCATTATTATTCATGTTATTTATTATTTATTATTTTAATATTATTATTCTTTATATTCATTATCTCATTTTTATTACATGATTATATTATTTATTATTCTGATATATTATTTTATATATTTTCTTTCTTTATTATTATATTTATCATTTTGATTATTGAATATATCAAAATGTACATAATATACATTATAAATACAAATAAATGAAATAATTCAACATTTAATGAATGAATCAGATAATATTAATCAATAAGAATTATTTATTTGTATAATAAACAATCAATATAATGAAATCATCAATAAAATAATAATAAAATAAAATGAAATATGAAAATTATCAACAATAATCAACAATTTCATTAATGAAATAATCAAAATATAAAATCAAATTCATCATTATATTCTCTCATCTCTAAATAATTTTAATATAAATTAAAACAAAATGAAGAATAAAGAATGAATAAATATAAAATATAAATAAAATAAATAAATAAGATAAAATAAATAATAAATAATAAACAAAAGAAAATAAAGATATAAAATAAATAAAATAAAAGATATAAAGAAATAGAATAAAAAAGAAAGAAAGAATAAGAATATAAAAATAAGAATAAAAAGAAATAAAGAATAAAAAAAGAATTATAAAACAAATATAAAGAATGATATATCAATCAATAAGAAAGAAAAGAATAATTAAATTATTTAAAAATTGAAATTAATATTGATGTTAAAACATTATATTTAACAATATGATAATTCATTTGATTCATTTATTATATTATATTCAAATATACATAGAGAATTTAATTGAAAATAAAAAATGAACAAATTTCACATTAGAAAATAAAGAACATTATATATCATTTTTATTACTTAATTAAATATTAAATTTTAAACCAATTAACTAAAACTTTCATTTAATTATCTGTTTTTTACCAGGTAAACATATTTCCAAATTTTTGAACGAATTTACCTGTTGATTTTTCTCCTTGTTTTAATTCATTCATTCTTCTTTCAAGTCCTACCTTAATCTCTTGCTTACTCTTTTGTGTTATTGACTTTTTCATAACTTCTATCATTTCATTTACTTGTTTAAGTTCTTTATATCCTGCTATTCGTTTTTGATATCCACTTTTCTTTTCTTCATTTTCTGTTTGAATTAATTGGTCTAAATATTCATTAGAACTAGTAATTTTATCATTTAATACAATTTCTGATAATCTATTAATGCACTCTATAATTTCTACTTGTTTATCACGACAGTCCATTTGAATTTCAAGTTATTCTTCTTCTAACTTTTTTAACATATTTTCTGCATTAGTCATACCTTTTTTACCTTCATTATATCTTTCAAGTACTTCTTGTGCTGTTTGTTGTTTTGTTTCTGTTACATACTCAAATCTATATGATGAGTTTGCATGTTCTGTATAATGACATCCACATACATTACAATATCCATTAGCACCAATACATTGACATTCTTTTTTTATATCTCCTTTAATATCACATGGATAACAACATGTTCTATTACATCTCAAACAATTAGTTACATATTTTCCTGGTTCTAATTCAATCTTTTTCTGTATTGTTACTTTAACAGTAAAAGTATAATCTTTATTATTATTAACTTTATCACGATTCAAACGAACCATTTTACAATAATGTTCTATTTCACTCATTTTTGATATTCCATTATTTAGTGATATTCTCAGCCCTTCAATTTGAGCTTTAATTTGTTCTCTTCTCTTTAAAACTTCTCGGGATTTATCTAATGATTTTCTTGGTAGGTTTATTATTTTTTGAATAAAGTCATCAAAACTCTTCATACCTAACTGCCAAAACATTTGTGTAAATTCATCTTCAGTATTATTATTATAAATAGCTGAGTTATTAAATTTTAAATACCATGGTTCATTTATTTCTTTAATAACTGAACTGAAAATACAATCTTTTGATTGTAATGAGTTAATAATTTGTGGTGTTTGACCATCACAGAATGTGAGCATAGCAATGAAATTCTTTTTTACATCATTTCCAAATAAATCAATAATATTATCAAGTATATATTTTTGATTTGCTGTTAATCTTGGATTACTTGATTGTGCAACAAAACAAATAGCATTTAAATCTGATACTTTTGTTTCAAATGCTTCTTTTATTTGTCTTGTTATTTCAATATCAAAAGCAATTCCTCTAGTATCTCCAAATCCAGGTGTATCTATTATTTTTATTGGTGGTGTTCTTTTTGTTCTTTTAATATTATAAATTGATACTTTACTTGTTTGACTTTTAGATTGATCTTTACTCTGTTCTAAATTATCTTCATTTATAATTATATATCTAAAATCATCTGTTATCTTGATTCCATATAATGCATTTATAAAAACTATTTAATAATGTTGTTTTACCACTTCCAATCTGTCCAACAACTAAAATACCAATTGCGTCGTCCTCATCTACTTGATTAAATGGTTCATTTGGATATAAATATATTTTCAATTTTCCTTTTTCATGGCTTTTCAATCTTATACTTCCGTTAATTGGAATATTTTGTTCAGATACATCTGTGGTATCATTTGTATAAGCATTAAATACATCTGTTGTTATATTGGTTTTATCGTCTTCTTCTTCTTTTTTCTTCTTCCTCTCAAAATAATCACTGTAATATGTGTTCCACTCTTCTTTCTTTTTGTTAAATGATTGTGTGATTTTATCACTTTCTTCTGGTTTTCTGAATATTTTATTTTTCATGATCATTTCTTCAATTGAAATGATTTTATTGATTATTTCATTCCGTGTTTTACTTAGTATTTCTTCATCTGAATTACATCCTTCTATTATTTTGTTTATTTTATTCTTAATTATTTCTATTTGATTAATTGTTTCTTGACTTTTTTCTATTACTAATTTTCTTCTTCTTTCTGTTTCATCAATTCTGTTAAATATTCCTTCTCCTCTTTTAATAGCCTCTGAATATGTTTCATTGTCTTGTATTTTAAATATTTCATTTTTAATACTTCCTAAATAATATTGATAATGTTTATTAATATCATCAATTGATTGTTGAATATTTGGAAGTGTTTCTATTACTTCTTTAAAGAGTTGAGTGTTCTTGTTTATTAACTCATCCATTTTAATTTAATGAATATCAGATCAAAATAACAAGATTAAATAACTAAATAAACATTTATAATACATCGTTTTATTATTTTAATAAGTGTCATTTCATTTTTATTGTTTTAAATAACAATATTGAATTCATTGTGAATAAAATTTAAGTAAAACAAATATAAAATTGGAAGAAACTATAATAAATTTAATAAATTACTATAATCAAATTATTCTTTATTTTTTGTTTTTGTAAAAATAATATTGTTATTAAATACTTTGTTATTTAAAATGTTATTTAAAAAGAAATATTAATTATTCAAATTAAATAAAGAGAATTGAAAAAGAGATTAAATCAAAATACAAATTGAATATATTGATGTCAATGTTTTCAGTGTTTATTGTATTTGATAAAATATGAATTAATATTATGTTAAATCATTTATTAATAAATAAGTTAATATTATCATTTCATTCATTATTAAATTTTGATTACAATGAAAATGAACATTATTCACAACAATGAAATTATTAAATGATTTGATGTTATATATTATATCATATAAATATGATGAGATAATAACTTGATTACAATTTTATAGAATATAATATTACTTTTATTAACTTCTTTCTTAATATAGATATTAATCTAATGATTCAATTATTTTATGTAACATTCATTATTTTATAATACTTATCATTCATATCAAATAGATATTATGATATTTATTTCATTACTAACTCAATAACAAGAAATGAATGATACAAAACAATAAATAATAAATCAAGATACAAGTAATGAAGAAATAAAGTTAATCAAATAGAATAAAATGATAAAGAAATGATAAAATAATAAAGAAGATAAAAACAAGAAAACACAATAAGTAATAAAAGAAGAAAGTTGAAAATAATAATTAAAATAAGGAGAATATATAATCAAAAGAACAATAAATAAATGTAGTTTTAAAATAAATAATAAATGATATATAATAATAACACAATGAGAATAATAAATAATATAAACAAAAGAAATGATAAATAAAGAAATAAAACAAAAGAAGATATAACAAGAAATGAATAAACATAATAATAACAAATAAATACAAATGAATATAATTTAAATAAGATATCCAATATGAAAATAAAAGAATAAATAAAATAACATATCAAATTAATGAATAATAAAATCAATACAATCAAATAACCAAACAAATAAATAATAAAATAAATAATAATAATAATAATAGTATAAATAATATACAAATGAGAATGATATTACTAATATTGATAATGTGTATAAAATGATAACTATTTAAATAGTGATAATCATCATTGATTATATTGATTGAAATATTAAATCTTTGATTATTATTCAAAATATTAAATAACAAAATATAATGAATAACAAAATAAATAAAAAAGAGAATATTCTAATTATAAAAATAAAATAAAAATAAAATAAAATAATAATAATAGAATTGTTTTCTAAGTTCTTTTTATTTTATTTTTTTGTTCATTCATTATTAATTTATCAATTCTTCATGTATTTATATCTCAAAACACTTTCTTTAAACATCATTTAACTTTTATCAAAAACAACTAAAATTAGAAATTCAATTAAACAAAACATTTAAACATTAATAATGAGTATAGAAGGATTGAAACAAATTAAATTACTTTTAATTGGAGAAACAGGTGATGGTAAAAGTTCATTAGGTAATTTTATTCTTAAAAAGGATGTTTTTAAAGTAAGTGATAGTGATGAATCGAGTACAAAATACGCTGGTGGATATTTTGGAGAAGGAGATAGAAGTGATGTATTTGTTGTTGATACTCCTTGTCTTATTGATGGTAGTGGATTTAATAATAAAAATATTCAAAATATTATTGAATGTGTTAAAAACACAAGATTACAAGGAATTGTATTAACAATGAATTATAATGTAAAAAGATATTGTGATAATCTTAAATATATTGTTAAAGTTATATCTGATGGTTTCCCAATAAAAGGTGTTTGGAAACATGTATGTATTGTATGGACTAAATGTTATAACTGTTATTCACAAAATCAAATTGAAAAAGATAAAATTGAGAAAAAAGAATTTAAAGAAGAAATAATCAAATATTTATTAAACAAACAAATAGAATAAATGAAAATATTGATATTCCAATGTGTTATGTAAATTCACAACCAATTGAAGGCTGTAATAATACAAAATCAGAAGAAGAAATAAAAAAATTAATCAAATGGGCAAGAGGATTACCATCAATTGATAAAGAAGAAATCAATAAATTAATAAATGGATACAAAGAAATTATTTATGAAGAAAAAGAAGAATGTGAAACAATACTTAAGAGAACATATAAAATAACAAAATATATAAGATGTAAGAAAGTAAAGAATGGTGGAGAAGTTATTTATGGTGAAAGTACTGAAATTTGTAGTAGAATTATAACAGAAAACAAATATAATAAAGAACCATCAGAATGTGTAGTGGTGTAACTGAAGAAACAATAACACTAATTCAGTATTTAGTTAATTGAAATAAAATATAAAAATCAAATGAATTAAATTTCATTATGGTTAATTTAAATAGAAAAACAAAGAAATGGATAATAAGAAATAAAGTAAACATGAATAAAAGAAAGAATAAAATTCAAATGAATAAAGAAGAATGAATGAATAAAGAAGTAAAATAAAGAATATAATGAAATAAACAAAGAAAATATAAACAAAGATAAAGAAAATGAATAAATAAAAGAA